GGAGTTATTCAGCTGTGCTTACACTAAGAAAATAAAATGTAGCCTTTAGGAGTTGCTTTGTTTCATTAGAGGTGAGGCTCTCCCAAATAGAGACTTTTGAGTTCTGTAGAACTTATCAGAAGGAAAAAGACAAAGCTTTGGTTACAAAAAAACTATCTGAGAGTCATCAAAGAAAGGGTAGAAGAAACACAGTATCTCACATAGGGGTCACATTCTGTTTACTGCTTACTCTGACTGATATAGGATTTTTAAGAATGATACCAATACCAATATTCGGTTACTTGAAAAGCCAATATGTTGGCAAATATTTCTTTTTAATTTCAGATACATGAAACAGATGTATTTCCCTAAAATTTGTTATGTGCAAATATTTGTGATTCCTTACTGACATAATATGACAACGCAGTTTAAACGTAATCTTGTTACAACGATTCACAGATTACTCATTTACACTCCTTGTTTTGCTGGGATCAGTTGATCGTTGCGTTTGTGGCGTTCTAAAATTGTTGCCAATACGGATGCTCCAATGTGTCCTCTGTGGACAAAGTGTGTAACCTCTTAAAATTGTCTTTTATTGGCCTTTAGAAATACTGATACCGATAGATCAGAAAATGATCGGCCTTCTGAGAAGCTCATCTATGCCAAAACCCAGTTTTCAAAAATCGAATTTTAAGATAAAGGATTGCTTGTGTCATGCTTAATAATATAATGAAGCAGGTGTGCTTCCAGCAACCCCCCAAAGAAGTATTAGCCCTATTGATATATCTGTCAGGCTCTGGATAGTACAGGGAGGTGTGTCTCTCTAATATAAGCTGGGGCACCCATAATTATTCAATAAAAGCTGATGAAGTTTGAAACAGTGAACATGATAATCATTACTTTGAATGAGGAGACTGTCAAGCTGACATTTTTCACAATTACAAAAGCAAAACAAAACAAAAATGCACATAATTACTAGAGATGGACCGATCCGATATTGCGTATCGGTATCGGTCCGATACTGACCTAAATTGCTGGATCGGATATCAGAGAGAAATAAAAAATGTAATCCGATCCATTAAATATCAAAAAAGCACCTCACAAAACTTGCGACATGGTGTAACTCGGCTCATAACATGTCGGAGCAGTGTGCGTCACGTGATAGAGCGGCTGTGTGTATTTGTAGCCTCGCTAGCAATCCGGCATTTCATCTCCGAGGAAGTTA